GGGTGGGCCCCCAGCGCCCCGCCCTGCCTCTCCTGTGGCAGGCCATTGCTCTGCACACACAACCCCATGCCATCCACCCTGTACCTCCACCACCTGTCATCTTTGTTGGGGCTTTCTCTTTCTTCTGCTGCTTGTCTTCATAGCCCCCCCCCCATGTCCCCATGTCCCTGTGTGCCCCCACAGTCCTGTGTCTCACTGTCTCCCCAGGATCTGTTACTCTGACACCAGCTGCCCACAGGAGGATCAGTACCCACCCAACATTGCTGTGAAGGTTAACCACAGCTACTGCTCAGTGCCGGGCTACTACCCTTCCAACAAGCCTGGTGTGGAACCCAAGAGGCCCTGCAGACCCATCAACCTCACCCATCTCATGTACCTTTCCTCCGCCACCAACCGCATCACTGTCACCTGGGGCAACTATGGCAAGGTAAGCACCCTGCGCCCAGCCCCCATCATTCCACATGTCCCTCCCCCCTGGCCACCCTGCACCTAGTACCCACCATCCCACGTCCACCCTGCATTCAGTACCCTGATGCTGCAGCTGCTCTGTCCACAGAGCTACTCCGTGGCATTGTACCTGGTCCGGCAGCTGACCTCCTCAGACCTGCTGCAGAGGTTGAAGACAATTGGTGTGAAGCATCCAGAGCTCTGCAAGGCACTTGGTGAGCACCAGAGGCTCCAGGGCTTGGCTGTGCCTGCCCCGTCCCCGGGGTGTATAAGGGTGGCTGAGGGATTTGGAGCAAAGACGCAATGTCAGCCTGGGGTCAGGGTTCTGGTCTAGGGATTTTGGATCTTGATCTGGGAGTTTAGGGGTCTGGTTTGTGGGCACAGAGCCTCGTGGTTGACAGGCAAGCCTCTTGCCTTCCACAAATTGGGGAGCAAGGGCAGGTGGGCACAATGGGAGGAAGGTGATGCGTGACGTGAGATTTAAGGCCAGGTTTTGTATGGTTACTTGTGACAGGTGGATTTTTGCTTATTTGATTGGCTGTTTTTGCTTTTCTCTGTGTAGCCCTGGCTGTCCTGGAACTTAACTTTGTAGCCCAGGCTGGCCTCAAATTCAGAGAAATTCACCTGCCTCTACCTCCACCTTCCAAGTGCTGGGATTAAAGGAGTGAGCCACCATTGCCTGGCTGTGAGAAGTGTTTTTAAAATGAGACAGTGTGGTTGTGAAAGACAGAGCACCTGCAGCAGCGGCCCACAGTGCCCTCCCACACTTGGCTGGTGGGGCCCTCGTTGGCCCTGCCATTTCTTTGCAGGGCAGGCCTGAGCCACCTGGGCATTTAGGCCTCTTCTTGTGCCCTCCCAGCTGGGGTTGGCCAGGCTGGGCTCTGGCCTGCTTTGAGGAGAGATGGCCTCTGGCCAAATGTCCCTGTGATGTGATGTCATCTTGGAGGCTAAGACCTGTGACCAGGAGGAGGTAGCCTGGGTTTGCTCATACCTGGATAGGTGAAGGTTTTGCAGGCCAAGGCCACCGACTCTTATTGTTTGGTAGCCAGGGTGGGAACAGCAGAGTCACAGGTACACTGTGTCTATACCTGGGCTGGACCTGGTCAATGTCCTCAAGCTGCGGATTCTGGCCTCTCCATGGTGCTCAAAACAGCAGAAGCAGCATCAACACATCTCTAACCCCCCAGGGCAGACTGCTGCCTGGACTTTCCAGAAACACCCTGCAGATCTCAGGAGCCTACAAGGCCCCTATTTGGAGTGCAACCGGGTTTGTGGGGCTCCGGATGTTTGGAAGTGACACTCAGGCAGGTGGAGGCTAGCCTGGCTTTCCTTCAGCTGTGGAGTGACCCTGCCCTCTGATGCCCCTTGTCCCTCTGTCACCTCACAGTCAAGGAGAAGCTTCGCCTAGATCCGGACAGTGAGATCGCCACCACTGGAGTACGAGTGTCCCTCATCTGCCCAGTGAGTCCCCCCATCTGTCCCCAGCTACATGGGTGGGACAGTAGACTCTTGTGGGACAGTGTCCTCACATGCCGTCCGTCCTTCCGCTCACAGCTAGTGAAGATGCGGCTTTCGGTTCCCTGCCGTGCAGAGAGCTGTGCACACCTTCAGTGCTTCGATGCCGTCTTCTACCTGCAGATGAACGAAAAGAAGCCCACGTGGATGTGCCCTGTGTGTGACAAGCCCGCAGCCTATGACCAGCTCATCATTGACGGGTGAGTCTGACCTGCGCTCTGCTGTGCAGGGCCAAGCCAGGCTCTGCACCGCAGACAACAGCTGCCCAATGGAGCTGCCCCACCAGTTGGGCTTGTGGCCTCTGTTGCAGGACTTGCACTTTGCTGTGGAAAGGGTTGTTTTAGCTTTACTCTGCCTGAAGTCCCCTCTGCCTGTGACCTTGAGGTCCTGGTCTTTGCAAGTGACCTCCCTATGGTGAGGGAGGGGACAGGCAGGAATCTGTCCCACATCACAGAGGGAGGGGTCGTGCTTCCCCTTGGGACAGCTCAGCTCTCCACTCCAGACACTGGGTCTGCTGTGCAGGATACCTGAGGCCCCTGCCAGGTGCCAGCCAGAGCTCTGTATCTCCAGAGCCCGCACAGGCGGCTGAGGCCCTCAGCATACCCCTCACCCCCGTGCCTTCTGCATATCCTTGGTTGTGTCCCCAGAAGACCTTGCCATGCTCCCAATGAGGAAACTGAGGCTTGGAGGCAACCATCAGCCCAACTCCTTCAGTTTACAGATGGCCAGCTTTGCCTTGGTTCCTTGCTGGACAGGCCACTTTCCTGGCGAGCTCTAGTATTGGGTGGAGTGAGTCCAGGGCACGTGGGCTGGGCTCAATTGCACTCTGTTCTCGACCAGCTGTGGTCCTACACCCCAAGCCCTCCCTTCCCCAGGGCTCTGGGCAGACAGTGGCATCAGTAGCTGGGGCTGGCAGGCTCAGCAGGTGCTTCTGCCCTTGGTGGAGACCTGTGCTACTACCCTGGTATAGTCAGGGGCTTCCTGGAGGAAGGCTCCAGGCCATTCCTCTTGTGCCCCCAGCCCTGTGCTGTGGGAAGTTAGTGAGAGCACTGGGCAGACCACCGGGCCTCAGAGGGTGTGTAGTAGTTGTCTAGGCACACGGGCTGGGGCGGGCAATGGACTCTGCCCTGCTGTCCCTAAGGCTGCTGTCAAAGATCCTGAGTGAGTGTGAGGACGCAGATGAGATCGAATTCCTGGCCGAAGGCTCCTGGCGCCCAATCCGTGCGGAGAAGGAGCCGAGCTGCAGCCCCCAGGGCCCCATCCTGGTTCTCGGTGAGTCCCTGCACACCGCCCTGGCAGCCGCACCAGCCAGCCCAGGTCGGTGACTGAGCACTGTCCCTGTCTCTGCAGGCACCTCTGACGCCAACGGCCTCCCACCGGCCTCCAGCACCCCTGGCGTGGGAGGCAGCGTGGGCAGCTCGCTGGGCGGCGCAGGCAGCGGGGCAGGGGCAGCGGGCGGCCCGGAGAACGGGAGGCCTGGCGCCGACGTGGTGGACCTCACACTGGACAGCTCATCATCCTCCGAGGATGACGATGAGGATGACGAGGATGACGAGGATGACGATGAGGGTCCCCGGCCAAAGCGCCGCTGCCCATTCCAAAAGGGCCTGGTGCCCGCCTGCTGACGCGCCGGCCACCCCTGCCCACCCCTCCCCAGCTCCTGGCTCCC